TTAATATGAAATTAAAATGCAAAGTACTGTTTAGTTTATGTATGTGCACCTGTAACTTTTTTTTCCCCATCTTAATCTGAGTGTCTCTGCTTTATTTTCAGTGTAGCTATGGCTTTTGATGTTGCTGTGTGAACCTTCTCATTGATATTAATCTTCTAGTCTATAAAATGCTTAGCCTTTAAGTTTGCTCACAGCCACGTTTTTTCCACTCTCTTAACTTTAATACATAGATTGTTTTCAGAGAGGCATGAGGTATAATTTGCAGGTTAGTCTGGAAGCTAAAATCCAGGACTCATAGAAAGCAGAGAAGCAAGACACTTTCTGTTTTGTTCTTGGTATAGAAACAACTCTTTGTTAGTTTTTAGTTGTAAAACTAACAGGATGTTTAAAAAAAAATAAACTACTGTTTAGCTGGAAGCAGTTGTTGTCTGCCAGTTAGGGAGAAGCACATTGCAGTTGTGAGGAAAAAAGAAAGGCCAGAAGACCAAATTGATAATTATAAAAACAAGCAGGCAGGAAGAGAGAGAAGCGATAATCAGTTCAGACAGTAAAATAGAAGAGCTATTATCCTAGGGTAGAAAAGGAAGCAGGAAAAAAGGAATGCATAGAGACTAAAGTAGAAGACAGAAACAATTAGGCACTGAAGAGGTTTCAAAGATCAGAAAAACTGAAATGTACTGTCACAAGTAGATTAATGTAACATACTCTAATTAAAATGCAATTTTATAATCTAATTTGTCCTGAAGACAAATAGGGAAAAGTGTACTATACTATACCAGTAACTTCTCATTAAGTTATGTCCTATTATGGTTCCCATAATTTTTAGTGTAGCACATCAAGTAATTATTTACACAAACACTGCAAGTTTTATTTTAAAAATAAATTAGTTTACCTGGATTCATGTAAAATGTTGAATCATTTGAATTTAATTCATGGCCTTGATCTGTATTAAAAAAAAAAAAAAAAGGCAGCATAATGTTTCATAGAAATAGTTCAGATATTTCAGAAGAATTTGATTGAAATCTTAATATATGAAGTAGTCACTTCATAATGTTTTATAACTTAAAATATTTAACTTCTTGAATAGACTTGGATATTTTTGTCTTCTGCAGTACTGCTGATACAGGAAAGAAGGACGTTATGCAGAATTTAGCCTATCATTTAAATTTATCCGTAATTCAGATTCATTTGAGAAACCTTCAGGGGCTTTAATTGAGTAAACAAGAACTGCTATGATCAGTGTTGAGTTGTATAATCAGCTACTTTTTCTCAGTTGGATTACTGTGGGCTTGCAGTTGTGCGGTTAAGTAATTTGTTGTTTTTCCTAAAGTGATAATAAAATACAACATTTCTATCCACAAACGCACCAGGGCTTTTTCAGTGCCAAATGTTTTTGGTGTGTTCCCCCCTCCCGAACAAACAAGACCTGATTCTTGCTTTTCTATGCTCTGAAAACTTTCTTTGTGGAATTTTGTTAAGGCATAATATGTATTTCCCTATACATATTATATATATATTGTATAAGTATTAAGAATTTAGAGAGCAAAATACAGGATTGAGCTTTTAATCTCTCACTCACTGAATCGGAGGTTTAGACTGCCGAAGCTATGCAGCCTGGAGAACAAAGAATTGGGAAGAAAACCCTAATCTTGTGCCAGTGCTTCAAAACTGCAAATAGGATCACTTGGGTAACTGCAGACTAAAATTGTGGTCAGGTAAAAGTATGGAAATAATGTACAATTGAATCAAAAGAGAGTGAAATGATGGTAGCCTAGTTCATGCGAAGTGTCATGGTTTCAAAATAAAATACTTTATTTAACTATATTTTAAAGATATTGTGGATTTAATTAATTATAGTAATTAATTGAGATAAGCTGCTTAAACTTGTAAGCTGATGTAGTTCTATGTTTGATGTGATTCTTAAGGCTTTCGGCTGTGTTGTCTGGAGATCATCAAAGTGGAGGTCAGTGAAATGGAGGCTAATCAGCTACTCGATGTTGATGCACTCTTTATTGTAAAGGAATAATTCTGTAAAACGGAAAAATTTTTAACAGAATTTGATACCGTAATCCTAGCTTTTAATGCAAGTAGAAATGCTTTCCAAAGTTGGTGAAAGCTGGGAACATTAACCCTTTAAAAATCTCAGTCTGGTTTAACGCCTTTTATTTGAAACTCTCATGTAAAACAGTGTCTGGCCTAGCTACTGACAGCTTTAGGAAGACTAAAGGGTTTGTATTTATGCTGTAGCATTCTCTCCATGCTCATCCCTCTGAAGAGATCCTCCATTTGTCTTTTTATTGGTTCTTGAGGCTTGTTTGGGGAAAAAACAGTGTCTGTCAGAGGGGGAGAGCAAATGTTGAGTTTAACCCAGGAAAGGCTGTTTTGTCTTTGGTGCAGCTTTGATTCAGCTTGGCTCCTTGCTCTGATGCTCCAGCTGCTGTTATTGTAAAGCTTCCCGGTATCTGCAAAAACCTGATAAGTTTAGAACTGCATACCTGAAGTATTCGTAACAGTGATCTGTGGATCCAGTAAATAATCTGGAATTGGAATTTAGGGAGGTAATATTTCTTTTGGAATGGTCTGTATTGACCTACTACAAACTTCATGAAAGATCAGATTTGTTTGTTTATAATATAGAGAGTTTGGATTACCTTCCAGCTTTTGAGTGGGCAGTTTCTACTTAGGGCCACCATCCATTAGCTGGCATTAATCAGTTTAATAATAGTCAGCTGCAGTTTTAATAAGGTTTTTTACGAAAAATTGCCTGCTCAGCTGCTAAGGGGGATGGGGAGTTACTGGAAAAACAGCAATATATATTTGCCTTGGAATATTGTTGAGAACATACTTTGCTGTCAAGGTAGTAGATAGACAGATATTGTAGGATGTGCTGGGGTTTTTTTAATTGCCTTTTGCTGATCTTTAGTTAATGCAGTTTTCATATTTCTTATAAAGGAGCCAGCCAAATTAATACACGGATATATTTATTTTGAACTTTCAGGCTTAAATTTTATTGCAACTATTTGGTCCATCTTCTCCTCTGTACAGTATTGCCTGATTTTTGTGCCTTTTTTCCACTCAAGATATCGCTTGGCTTGTGTCTCAGAGCATTACTTTGATTGCCTCTGTAGCAGCGTGGAAGATTTTCTGCTTGTGTTCCTGGATGAAAAAGAAACTTTTTGCTCTGAGGCCCAGAGCTCAAACGTGGATGCTTCTGGAGAGAAGTTGAGAGGACCATGAGTAAACTTGTGACTCATCTCTAGAAGCCTTTCTGAAAAGGCCATTCCTTTCTGCTTATTCATTGATGTCGCCTTTATCTTCTGCTCATTTATGTCATTACTGAGCAGTGCAAGGTGATTTTTGTGACTGTGGGCTTTCATTCACTGGTTTATTGTTTGTAGACAATTTGAAAAATTGTGAAGCTGATGTGTTTGCTTAATACTTTATCTGTTGAGAGCTCTGTTCCACAGTACCTACGTGACTTATAGGGAACTTATGAGACCTGGTCATTATGTCAAATTTAATCCAAGGAACAAATGTTTATGTGAGTGGTTTTATTTTGAATAGAAATCTACAAATAATCTGTAGATTTTAAATTTTTTTTAGACATCCAATTTTGATAGTTCATAAACCAGTTTTCAAAAAATGCTTTGGTGCTTCTTGAAAGTTGGGGTTTTTTTGTCCTTCATATTGTATACTTCATTTTAAGACAGTGTAATATAATTGCTGACCAAAAACCAGCAGTGAACGAAGCTGTCTCATTCTTCAAAAAAGTGCAAACGTACTACTGCTGCTTTCTTTTAATTCTAGTAAATGTGGACTAATGGCCCACTAAGTTAGGATTTCCATTCCTTATCTAGGAGATCATTAATGCATCCATGAGTAGTTTCATAGATGTCAGTAGTGGTGGAGGAGCTGGACTAATGTAAAGGTCTGCAGAGTGCTGAGGATAGCTAATGGGTTTTAATTTCTGTCTTACATGGGATTTACTCCGTTCAGGTTGTTCTCTGTATGTTCTGTGCATGCCCATCATATAGGGAGGGAACAATTCTTTTTGCCTTTGAGGGGCTATGGGGTAATCCTGCAAAGCTGCCTTTGCACAGAGCATATGGTTTCTAGAATAGAATCTTTCATAGAATCGGATGAAGAAGAGGAATTGAGGAAAGGAAGAGTTTTTTGCACTTGGTCAGTGACGAAACACTTCTAGTGAAGTGTGAGGGGAGAATAGCATGTCATTTCCATTCCAGTTTCGTATGAGTAGCAAAGAATTAATTATGACCAGTAGAGTCCTTTTTTGTTTGAACAAAATGTTTGGAAAGCCATCCTCTCTGGTTACATGTTCAGAAACATAAGTAATGTCGTGTTCTGCAATGCTAATGAAACCTTAGCAGCAAATGAGAGCTTTGTGGACTAAAGAGCCTAAGTAGGACAGCAAAGGCTTTGTTCTTCTGTGTGCGGAGGGAAGTCAGTTCTTCTTGGTGGCATTGGGTGTTGGCTCCATGCCAAAAGCACCTTTTGGATGCCAGGTTAATGTTGTCAGAGTAATTGCAAAACGAGTGCAATATAGAGAATTCTTGAGATTGATGGTGTGTTTTTATGCATATGTGGAAGAGTGGTTTGACAGTACAGCATGGTAACAGTCTCCCTCTTCCCACACACAAACGATGCGTATGCAGCTTTTCTGAAAGCAGTAGCTGGAATGTCACTTTATTTGAAAAAAGATATTTAGTGTAGAAATGCCCGGTTGGTGTGAAGAGGGCACATCAGGACAGTATGAGATGCAGGTCATGTTTTCTCAAATGTATTAAAATCCTGTGTTCAGTCCCTCACCTGTCTCTTGGCTGTTGATACGATTCTCTGGTGAAACAGATCAGGGAAGGTCATCGTGGTTTTGGTGGAGAGGGGGATGCAGATGCAGGAGCACGTGGCTGGTAGTGGCACAGGATGGGTGCTTTTGGTTGGCAGTACTTGCATGCCATTGGATCGAAGTGTTCAAGGCACTAATGGCCGTGGTCGTTAGTCTGTGGCGTAGGTTACCAAGCCACAAGGTTACCAAGCCACAAGGCAAGGTTTGAGAGCAACCTTAATCCTGTTACGTTCTTTTTTGTTATTCTTGTTGCTTGCATGGTACCTCTTTTAGTGAATACATTTTCCTTGAGTCTTAAGCCCTGAAGCATTTTGTGGCTTTTTTTTAAATTTAACTTCAGGTCATCCTACTGCGTGTTGAAATTGAGCATAAATTCCTAATACTAAAGGTCGACATAATTCCGTAGGTTCAGTCAAGTTACTGAATCTGCAAGACACGGCTTCTGTGATAAACACCCCTCAGTTTTTTGTCTAAGTTAAATAAACTTTGCCTTTAAATCCTTTCTTTAGCTTTTTTTTTTCCTTTTTCTACTTTTTATTTTTTAAATTTGCTGTGAAGTGTATTTGGATTCAGCCCATAAAGGACATGAAATCTGATGGTGCAGTTGCTTGTCTTTTTCGATTTCTAAGTAACTGTTAAGAAAAATTTACTCTAAATGCTGTTGTAAGCTGAAAATTCTTGATTTTTCCACTGTGGTAGACTTTTAGGATAAAATATGAATCTGTGCTAGACTAAAAAATATTTGCTAGGCTGTATTTTGTACCTTTATTCATTCCTGCCTAATTCCGAACCCCCGTATTTCCACTTGTTTTTGAATTTGCAACTTGTCCTGCCTGATGTATCCTCCACCTGTTCATCAGTACAGAATACAGTGAAAGATAGGTTGTGAAGATGATTTAATGTGTTAAAAATCCCCCAGCTGTTTTTGGAAGCATGGTTTATTTTTGACTGTTTCTCCTCTTTGTTTTGTGCCTGCCTTTCTTAATGGCTGAGGACAGGTTTGCTTTCTTTGGAATCTCTTCCTAGAGCTGATAGTGAACTGTGTATATAGATATGTTTTAATAAATATTTTTCATATGCAGGCTACACCCAGCTTAACCATGCAGCTATAATTTATATTCTGTTTCTTTCAGTGGGTAAGCATAAGAGTGGAAGTTAATTTTTTATGTCCAGTGAAGTTACAACGTCTTGTGTTTTGAAACTGCCAAACGCATCTCTTCTGTGGAACGGTCTCTTATTGACCTCAGTGATCTTTGGTTATGTCTTTGTTGTCTTGGTGGAAAAGATCCACTTTCGAATGAAAGGATGGGGGGGGACGCATTTGCATTGTGAAAGTGATCAAAGACTGCATACAACTTAAAAAGCAAGTATTTAGAGCTGTTTTTACAGAAAGAGGTAGATGTGTGACTGCGCGTGCAGCTTACTATTCTGGTGTGTTGCTGATGTATAGATATACACACACAGGACTGCATTATAACTTGAATAACTTCTGTCCAAGTAGCAAGCGTTCCCTCGCATGAATAAATTCTATGCCATTTCTGGTGCTGCTGTGTTTCTTAACTAATTCTGGGTTTTTTTGTTTTGTTTTTAAAGGATCAGTTTGATAACTTGGACAAGCATACACAGTGGGGCATTGACTTCTTGGAGAAGTATGCAAAATTTGTAAAAGAAAGGATAGAAATTGAGCAAAACTATGCAAAACAACTGAGGTAAGGATTTTTTTCTTTTTTAGAAAGAGAATCTTAACGGTTACTTAAAATCGCTGTATCAGATGATGGGCAAGTATGTAATGTGATGGATGACCATTTTTCATTTACAGAGTGAATTAGATCAGTAGTTCTTTTCATGACAGACCTAAGTTTTTCTTTACCAGTCCAAAACAAAATTATCTTTGGGGGCACGCTTAATTGCTTGCTTATTTTTGCCTTCTTCCCTCCGTGTCTTCCCACCCACTCTCCAGTTCTTGAACTAAAAAAAGTTTAAGACTTAAATTTTAAGATTCAAAACAAAACGAAACCGTAGTAATATTTTTCCACTGACTGTCAGCATGTTTGTTGCAAAGTGCATTAACGATGTCTACATTTTGTGTGTGTGTGTGTGTTCAGCAATCTTCAAGCCTCTGCTACTAATTAATTTCTCATGTTGAATAATTTCTCATGCTGAATTGGCAAGAGCCACACTACATTGTGTTAAGAAATCTAATTGAAAGCATAGAGTAGAACTGGAGAGAGCAGCAGATCTTCCTGTCCTTAGAGCACGCCCTTTCCGTAGCTGGTCTTGTCCCTTTGGGTGAGACTGTGACCCAGCCACCCTTTGTCTTACCTCTCCTGTTTACTTTCTGTTGGTGCCAAGTGAAACATCTTTTAGGTCCAATAGGAATTTCTCTGCAGGGATCGTACAAGAGGAGTAGCAGCAATGAAATGGCAGAGAAGCACATTCTTCAGAATAAAGTAGGATTGATTTTTACCAAAAGGTGGACACCGTGCTTGAAGAACAAGATTTAAAGTAAAACACTCCTGTGAACTTGGCCTTCACTGTAGTCTTTGCTGTCTTGAATTCCTTTGGGGATTCAGCTGAAGCTGCTGCCTAGCCCTTGTCAGACTGAAACTGATACTAGGTTCTCTCCTGGGGTGCCTTCCATCATTGGCCAACTAGATTCTAGATTGTCACCAGATACAGGCTGAGGAATCCTTCCTCATAAATGCAGTAATGCGGTTCACAGCTGAGGGTACGGATGTTGTCTGTCCAGGCTGCTCATTTCCTTTTCAATTTCTTTACCAGTTTCTTTTGATCCAGTTGTGTATGTTCACCTAACATAATACCCCCATTACATTACTGAAGGAATTTTTTTCTTAAAAGGCAGGCAATAAATACCGCTTCTCCAAAGCTGGCGTAGAAGAACTTCAGGAGGTAAAAGGAAGTTTGAAGCATGCACAGCACCAGTTCACAGCTGACTTATGATTTGTTTTCGGTTGTCTGTTAAAAAATGGAAATGTGTTTTATTTGCACGGATCTGTACAGATCTTTTCATTAAATAGTATGAACAAATGCCATTTTGCTTAATTGTATTTAAAAGTTCGTTCCACAGCTAGCAAGATGAGACACCATATTATAACTTCAGGATTTGACTAAAAATAGGAAATCTCTGTTCATCATTTTACTCTCTTGGGTAAAACTATTGATTCTTCTCAAAGTGTCTTTCAAAAACGAAAGAGTTATGTCGAGTACCCCTTCTGTCAGATGACTGGACTGACTGTCCATGTGCAGTAAGTATGACAGTTCTGGGAAGCACAGGTCTTGCTGCTCACGTGTTGTGCAGTGCATGCATGCACTTCCTGCCTGCTGCCGACGAGGGTCTGGACAGCACACACACGAGAGGGTGACTCACTGATTTTCTGCCAGTAGACCAGTTCATGAAGCTACTCCTCGATAGTTTTGCCTGTATATTCCTTGGGGGAAGAATTGATTGTTCGTAGTGAACTGTCTTGTGATAACAACTTGATTTAAGCCGTCATTGGTCTTGAGGACACTCAGTTTTTAACCATGTAAACCAGTTGTGGGGCTGCAGGGGAGACTGAGATCAAGCAAAATTTTCACTTGCAGAAGTTAGCCATCCTGTAGCTTGCTCCTGAGAAGGTCTGAGAGAGAAGATCTTGGGGATGGACTATGGTTCTGGTGAATTTTAATGCTGGCAGTGTATGGCCTGTGAGATCAATATTAGTATCTCTGGTAGAAATTTCTGGTCTATCATCTTTTTTTCTTTTGTAAAGAAATAGATTCTGAAAAATAGGGTGTTGAGAATCTCTTCATAATAAACTTTATAACTGAGATTTTTATGCCGTTGTTCAGTAGGTGTATAGACAGTATGGTGAGTTGTCACCTCTTGGTAGTTCTGCGGCTCTCTTAGTACTTGGATGGGAGACCAAGAAAAAAGAAGTTCAGTGAGGGAGATAATACTGGTGATGCATGGTGGTATTTTTTTTCTGTCTTCGTGTCGGTGTGGGCCGTGAACATTCTGTTGAGGTTGTTGATGGATCTTACTTTCATAGCCTGAAACCCAAGGATGAAAACTTGAGTGAATTTTTCAGTCCGTGTCCTGGCAGAAAGTCATATTCACTTTGTGTATACCCTTGCATTTTGATAATTTTTTTCTTATACTGTCACAACTTAGTGATGAGACTTTCCCAGGTGCAACAGCTGCTCCAAGTCTTCTAGGAGATGACAAGTGATGCATGTACAGTATATGAGGAACTGTTTGAGTTGAACGCACTATATTCTTACTGTATGCAGTTACTGCAGTTTGTGGTCGCTCAGTAATTCCAGAAGTGGTAACTTGTGGGAATCCTGTCCAAATGCTGGTTTTACGTTGCAAGTCATTCCTTGCTATTCTTTGCTAGGCAGTTCTCGATACTGAGAAAAAGTATGAGAAAAATTGAAACTGTTGAGGAATCCTGAAGCATCTACAGAGAAAAAAAAATTGTCTAGAGAGCTTTGCAATGTTCTGAAAAAAAAGCACCTATAGTTCCCTTTTTTGAGCTAACATAAAGGAAAATCTGAAGCTCTGTGTAGCTTAAGTCTCAACTAATGTATTGTGGTACCCTAAGGATTGTGAAGGTTGTTATAAGATGTTACTGGGATGTGAATTAGGACAAACATACTGCAAATATTTGTTGTAGATTAACAGATTTTATTTTAATTATATGATGATCTAATTTGTTCTTATTTTATATTTGGAAAAAAACAGATTTAGTATGTGCCAAATGACTGGGCTCTTGGCTGAATTTTGTAATTGAATTCTCAGATGCTGGTTTTGGTCAGCATTGTTGCTTAAAAGGGGTGAGGTGAAGGTCTGTTTTGTTTACTTCCACACCATCACGCCCAAAATCATTCTGGAGGTTAACTCCCTTTTTGTTCTGGCTGAAGCATGATGACGCTTGGGGAGACAGGGGGGTTCCACTTCCGGTGGTGTCAGGCAGTAACACAAGTTATACCTGCAGTGACAGATGAATCAACTACCGTGATCTCTGTATTGGGTCAGCTGCTCTATTATCAGTTTAAAGAAAATAGCAATGATTGTTCTTGAACTATTTGAGTGTTTCCCTTTAAAATTGTACGCTGTAATCTCTGGAGATGGCTAGTTAATCTAAGCAAATGTATTTTTCATGTTCCTTCTGCATACCATTGTGTGAAAGAGGTTTTTCCCTAAATATAGTATTAATATATGCCTATGTCTAGTCAAATGGAGATGTAGTTACCACATTTTTATATGCAGAATCTTGGAAACATTATTTAAAATGGGTGTGAGCTCAAACATGAAGTTGGGGACACAAATTCCCGCCATATGTGTTCATTTCTCAAATCTCTCCTCCTTTGATTGGAGCTGAGAATTTACGCTCTTGGTTATTATCCAAGTGTGGATGTGGCAGGTTTCTTTATAGTGATGTTTCTGCAAGCCAAAACATATGCATTCTTAATAGTTCTGAGGATATTCAGCTTTGTAAACTCAAATTCCACGTTACAATCATCTCTTCACTGAAAACTTTTTTCTGATGATGTGTTACTAAACACGGTTCATTGTCAGTGTTTTCACCCAGTCCGTAATACTGATAGGCAGTCACTGAAGCTATCAGAACCCTATTGAAGGTGTTACTTTACGTATAAATATGAAATGCCTTTGAGGACATACTGCATTTTTAGTAACTTATGAAAGAGGACTTCAGAGTTTGTTCCCAGGCTCATTTGCAATATGATGTAGGGGCTGTAGAGGTTTAGTATAAGCAGATGCTACAGTACCGGAGCTGCTGCCTTAATACAAATCTTACCATATTATATTGATGCTGCTGCTCCTGTGTTTTACATTCTGTATTAACTGGCTGAAGAAAACTTAGTTTTGAGTTGATAAACACAATTTTTGTACAAATATCTGTAAAATTTTATGTAGATGTTCTATGCATGACTATAAATAATTTGGCTTTATTAACTAGAGTGCTTTTTGAAACTTCTGGCTACCTGATTGAGGTACTTCTCTTAAAAATTGGTAGTATAGTGCAGGGTGCTATCTCACTGGTGTTGACTTGAGACCAGTTTATACTGGGAAGAGAGACTGATAAAATGATAGGAGGAGCACAGTTGGATGTGGTTAGTCCTGTACGAAATCTGCTTCCAGATGTCCGTCAGACTGAGTGTGGTAGGAGTCCAAATTGTATTTCCAGAGGATTGAAGTGTCATCAATCTACACACTTTTCTAAGGAACTACAGAACAATTTATCTCATGGATTTGGTTCAGTTCTGATGGTCTGCAGTTACTTCCGCAGTTTTCTTGTGAGCTAGTTCCAGATCCGTGTTTGGATCCTGAGTATTAGACACACATGTTTAGCCAAAAACGTTAAACAACTTAATGCCACCTTAAAGTGTCAGCTGCCCCCTCTTTGAAATAATGCTTCGTTCTTCAGATCCACACTCCTACTACAGCTGCTTGTCAACCTGCATTTTTTCAAAGATTTAAATCTAATTTATCTTTTTTTTTTTCTAAGTGCTGGTGTTCACTTCTTGGAAAAGCCATTTATGTTTCGTTGTTTGCCTGAACACTGGCATTTTCTTGGAACTTTAAATGCTGCGTTTGCTTGTCGTTTCATATTTATTGACTTTGATTATTGTACCTTGTGCTGTTATTGAACCCTAAATCCTGCTCACACAGTGTCTCAAAACTGTGTGGTCTTGTGATCCCAAGGTAGACAAGACTGACTGATGAAACAGGCTTTTATTAGGAGAAAGGATTGTATGGTATTTTTGTCTTCCTAGAAATAGTTTCTAAAGACATGGTATTTACAACACTGGTGGTAGGGCAAAATGTAACATCTTTCCTGAAAGGAGATGTTGCCCCTTCTGTTGTGGAAATATTCTTATTGAAGATTCGGAGATGGCTGTGGTTAAAACCTTCGACCTGAATGTACACTCAAAGCTTAATTCAGGGGTGGAGTTGTGTGCTCACGGGTATAGCATAACAGTGTGCGCTATTTATGTTACACAGTGGTCATACATGTGCTTTTTTCTTGCCTGCTAGCTGCTTTTGCATGTGTGAAAAGAATGTTAAATAAAGAGCTCATTATTTCGTGTCTAGTCAGTGTGCAATAGGAGTTTTAAAATAATTACATTGTTCTAGGTCAAAGTGACTTAAAACTTTGAAAATTACGTAGATTTCTGCTTTGTGTTACCTGAAGGACCCTTATAAGATGACAGAGGGAATAGATTTGTTCCTTGAAGTCATTAAAAAGAAGTAATTTGTTCATGCAGTTGTCTGTGTGTTCTCAGAAGAGACTCTAAATTAGGATCTTATTTTCTTTCTTCCCTAATAGAAATCTGGTTAAGAAGTACTGTCCTAAACGTTCACCCAAAGATGAGGAACCCAGGTAAAAATATGCATTTCAAGTTCTGTGTATAAGAAATGAAGTCTGCAGTCCTTTTATGGCTTTGTTGTTTTGTTGGGTTTTTTTAAGGTAAAGTATTTAATTGGTGAAGACAACAAAAGAATTGTGCTTGGCTTCTTATAGTTCTGCTGTAATTCTTAAGCGTGAAACCCGAGTTTAGTTCCATTAGTATTTTAAAGTAGTAAACATGGCTCGTTGTACTTGCTCCATTCCAAATTAATCTTTAGCTTGCTGAAAGTTTGAAAGCAGAAGTTCAGTATGCTATGCAGTCTTGTATTTTTTTTTTTTGTAGTATTCTTTTTTTAGAGAAAAGCAATTATGTGTCCTTAGGCTGCGTTTTTTGCTTAGTTGAGTAGCGTTTTTCAGTGCATTTGTATGGCAATACAAATGTAGCTATACGTTTGTATACCGAAACTTGAGTGTACACGAAATTGTCTTGGTTTTGGCAAGAAGAGCTGTTAAACTGCTGACTTGCTTTGACTCCAGAGAGAAAATAAGTGAATGTCTATCTGTGGAGGAGCAATCTGTGCTAAACAACTTTATGATTATTTATCAGAAGTGCTTGTTTTGCTGTCCATGTCCATAGCCATTTTTTTATTTATTTAGAAAAACACATTACTTTTTTTTTTTTTTTTTCTTTAGGGATAACTGTTCTGAAGGGAAAAAAGTGGGCAAGTTTCAGGTTGCAGCCAGAGCACATGCTGTGCACAGAGCGCTTGAGAATTCACGCTAGGATTTCCTCTAGCTCTTTCGACTATTTAAAGATCCTGGACCACAGGGAACGGGATTTCCAGTGCTAGGGTGGTGTTTGAATTCCCCAGAGCCAAGCCTGTGGAGGTGGCAGTATTCCACAGTTGAAAGAGAGAAAGATGTATATTTTAATGTGGTGCCTGTTTTTTTTTCCTTTCTTCCCTTCCACACACACTTTCTACCCTTTGCCCCTCCTCTTCCCCCCTTTTTAGTGCCAGCCATAGTGGCACCTTACTTCCAGCCAAGAGGTGGGCAGGCAAACAGGCAGCTGTCTCCAGAGCTGATAGCAAACTTGTTCTGTAGATCATCCATCGGGATGCATATGAGTGGTATGATTGGCATGTTCCACCCTCAAGACTACCAAGCACATCATCTCTGCAGCGAGTTCGGCCTCCGAGCCTAGGGACGTATGTATCCGTTCCCAAGCTCAGGCCTCTCAGTTGGCAGCTTAGGAGATACCACTATACTACAGGGCTTTCCAGGTAGTATTCTTCTTCTTTCTTTTCCATCCGCAAAAAAAATCCATATTCTTATAAAATGTGTTTGAAGAGACATTGCGACGTATAGTACGTGCTAGGCTTGACGTAGGCTTTCCCGACTTGCGTTTCTACTATAATTCAATTAGCATTAAGATAAGGTTTATTGTAAAATATATATGATTTGGTTTTAATTTAATCAGGAGTACTGACTATACTAAAAGAAGTCCTTTTAAAAAAACTGTCTCACTTTTTGTATATGTATGTTTGTGCGTGTGTGCTTTCTGTCAGGTTTACTTCGTGTATTGCCTTTTTCAACATCCTTAATGAGCTGAATGACTATGCAGGACAGCGAGAAGTAGTTGCGGAAGAAATGGGACACAGAGTGTATGGAGAATTGATGAGATACTCGCATGATCTAAAGACTGAGAGAAAAATGGTAATTTCTATATTTTGATTTGATAACAGGATATCAAAATGGAAATGTCTTTTAAGGAATTGATGTATTTGTTTACCCAATGTAATGAACTTGGCAATAAGGAGGTTTTGCAATACATTTACGAAACACAAAGTTGTTCTGTATTTTTGTGCACTGGTTTACTAGTTATTAAACCTAAAAATTAAGTGCTTACTGGTAACATTTTTGCCAGTGTAATTTTCATCTGTGATGCTGTTCTTCCAAAGAGTGCTGGTAACGGGTGGGAGATGCTGCACATCACAGTGTGTCAGCTAGAGCAGGGACTAACTAATGGTCATAGTACTAAAAAGATGTGTAAATTAAACTTATTTGTGCTGGTTTTAGCATCTTCAGGAAGGCCGAAAGGCTCAACAGTATCTGGACATGTGCTGGAAACAGATGGATAATGTGAGTTTGTGTTTTGTTTTGGTTTGTTTTTTTTTTCCCCTGTCCAACTTAATAATACACAGTCTGTAAATGGGGCTGTTGTCATCTGTCTTGCTTAGAGTTTAATGTTTAGCTGAATTACTGAAGGTCCAGATCAGGCTTAGTAACGTCCAAATTACAGCTCCATGTATTTGTAGTTCCCTGTTTTAAAAAAATCTCCTGTAAACAGCTTTGGTGTGTATGTTTGAGGGAAGCCTTGGCTTTTATCCAGCGTAAAGGAATCTGTTTTTAACATGGGGACAGATGACTCTGGCTGCTTCTCTCCACAGGCTACTTTTTGTTTAGAGAATAATTAATAATGACAGTTTATTTATATGAAGATGAAATCTTAAGTCACTGTATTTGACTTGAGTTTGAGGGCTTGTTACATGGAGTCTGTTCAGGAATACCACTATAGGCTGTTACACTTTCAGGAGGCAGAATTACTTTCTAACAGAGAAATGCAGGAAGTGAATGTCTCTACAACAGCTCATAAGCTCCTTTTTCTTGAGAGACGTGCTTTTGAAGGTGAGAAGATAGGAAATTCAGCCAAGCGTGTTCAAGATGCGTTCTGATGTTCTCATAGCTTTGTGTCTTAGAAATTTATTGTATCTTTGATCCAGATTATTGCGAAGCAGTACTGTAGAGAGGAATTTGTGTTTTGTTGTTGTGGACCCAGATAAGGAATGTCTTGCTTCAGTGTCACGTCAGAGAGTTTAATTCATGGTCAGAGGATTAGAAGCAGATATGGTAGCATTAGATGCCGTCACCCTTCTCCAAGATAATTCCCAGAGTGCACCCCAGTCGGTTGTGTTGGGTGCCCTGTACTCACTGGAGTGCCAGCTCCGCCTTTCAGGGACACGGTAACCTCAGCCGCCTGACTTCGCGCTGAAGCAGGGGGGCAGTGCTCACACAATCTCTGTTGCCAGTTTGTCTCTGGAGATACTAACTTGGGAGCTGCAGCAGTTTTTCGTACAGCAGTTGTCTTGACAACAGCCAGAGATATTGAACATCAAATGCTTTGAATACTGTTGTCTGCGCTGCTTACAGCTACGCCAGCTGGTGCAAACACTGATGGTAATGGATGGGTATGCTGAGAGCTCATAATGTAGATACAGCCTTCAGAATAGGTTAGTTGAATTTATTCAATTAAAGTTGATCACTGAAGAAGGGAACTTGAAAATTTTACTCATACAAATCCAGGTTTAAATTTGCTGCCCCCTAACTTTTATTTGGTTCGTTGAAGTCAGGCTAGAAAGTGGACTTGTCTGTTTCTAATTAACAGCAGATCTCTGTAGTATGTTCTTTTGTATTTTGATTATCTGATATTTAGAGCATAATTACAGTTGTTTCCTTGCTGGTGCTTCAAGGAAAGAAGTTCTAAATAGAAAAGTTGAAAATCTTTGAGACTGGGATGTATTTACTTAAAGGTACCTCGTGAGTTTAAGATATTTAAATGGAAGCTTTGATATTTAGAATTCAGAATTACTGTACAAAACCAGAAGGGGAGGGTGGCTGTTGAAGCAGTAAGTTTGTGGTTTTTGTAGAGCAAAAAGAAATTTGAGAGAGAATGCAGAGAGGCAGAGAAGGCACAGCAAAGCTATGAAAGACTGGACAATGACACCAATGCCACAAAGGCTGATGTTGAGAAGGTAAGAGTGGTGCCATTTCTTTCTTTGCTCTCCCTTTATTATAAAAAGCTTTTATTTGCATGTTTATCATCAGTAGTGGAACAACACTCTTTGAGCGTATAAAATTGGGTATAAAATACGCTTGCTTATTGTGTGCCAAATCAGAGTTACAGTAAAATGTCAGACAGCCCAGAGAGGGACTGTGCTTTGTTAGTCTCAAGATGGTGCCGTTGAGATGATGACTGTCTTCCGTAGGCAAGCTCACTGGTGTTTGGTATCTTGTGGTATATATGTTCAGTCACTCCTGTGGTTTTTAGGATACGCATTTAAGCGACTGAGGGAGCTAAAATAATCATTGTGCTCTCTGTGTATAACCAATGAGGTCTGTAGACTGTCAGTAAATACGAAGTGTCACGTTCTTATTTCAATTACCGGGATGTCAGTTTTGATGACTTGTGATTAGTGTTTTTGCATAGTGGGTAAAATAAATCAAAATAATGCTGTATGTCATTGAAAAGCATGAGACATGTTTGAACTGGTAACACTTTCCTACTAGGCTAAGCAACAGTTAAACCTGCGCACACATATGGCTGATGAAAACAAAAACGAGTATGCTGCACAACTACAGAATTTTAATGGGGAACAGCACAAACACTACTACATTGTCATTCCTCAGATTTATAAGGTAAAATAATCAACAGAGAAAGTATGTCTGATCGTCTAAGGGAGAAGTAGGTTTTAAAATTTAAAACTTTATTTTGGGGATTTTAGTGGATAATTTTATCAAGAAATTAGCATAATCTTGGTACAACCTGTGTTTTACCATGAAGCTGCTTACAGTAATTATGCTTAGACTTGTAATGAAAATATTCTGTTGCATTTTCTGTGAAGATTTTGTATTTTATAGACTTTTTGTTTAAATATTGCTGAAGAGATATGGCAAAATAAACATTTGAGGCATCTGGGTGAGAGCAAACATTTAAAACAATCATTCTAAGGTTTGATCACTAGTTCTGATATTTCTGTGTGAATGCTTTGACGCTGGCAGAGCTGAAGGAGAGTGTGCAGCTAATGGTGACTATTGTGGTGTAACGTATCCCACGTACAGGTATAAAATGGGTGGATTGGAGCCAGAAGTACTCTTCCCCCCGCCCCCCCAACTGGTCATTGCTTGGTCAATATTACCAGCAAGCTGCAGAGCTCTGTAAAAATAATAAAACCCCTTAAATTCAAATTAGATTGTAATGTCTGAAAGGAGTTGGTTTTCTTTTTAACTTAAGTTCTGTTTTGTTAAACAAATAAAAATACTGGGAAAGCACAGCAATTCTGTACTGCACTGTGGTGACCACAGTAACTGCATACATCAGGATCGGGGGAAGAAAAATCTGCAAATAAAAGCTTTGTTTTATCTTTGTGTTTGCAGCAACTTCAAGAAATGGATGAAAGAAGGACTATCAAACTTAGTGAATGTTACAAAGGCTTTGCTGACTCTGAGCGCAAGGTTATTCCGATTATCTCTAAATGTTTAGAAGGGATGATCCTTGCAGCAAAATCGGTTGATGAACACAGAGTAAGTACAATCCAGTGCCTTTTTACATGCGCGTGAGCAATTTAACTGATATGGAAGCTGCTGAGAGGGGAAAGACAGACTTACCCTGTGCATTTATCTTTCTGTTGTCAAATATTTGTCTGCTTGAAAAGTGTTGTGACTTCAGCTTTAGTCTAAGTGGTCACTTCCACTTTCAGTGTCTGTTCTTTTCCTGGTTTATTGCTTTCTGGTGATCCGAAGAGCTTTGACACTTTTTCTCTGTATGTGCTTTTGGACACGTTGTTTTCATTATCCTGAAGCATCCTAGAACACCAGCAGGATTGGTGTTTTCTCCAGTATATAGCATTAAATCATATAAAAGGTGTTTGGTTAACAAAGGGTCGTTCTCTGTCCTGTTTGATTACAGCCGTTGGCACTTTCTTACTCCTTCTGATACGGGTTCTTCCCTATTACATCTTACTACCTGTAGTTTCGTAGTGTTATCTTCATTTCAGTGCTAATGTTGAAGGATTAGACGGTGGAGTAGTAGTTTGGCCCTAAAGCATGTCCTGTTTTAAATTTGTGATAACCTCTGGGGAGTGTTTGCTGGATTCTGGATAGCAGGGTGTGCTTTGATGTGCACCCGTGGTAACACTGCTGAGAAAAAAGAACGTAAGTTCTCTTAACTAGATCTGTCTAAAAGCGTGCATTTTGAGCTCTCTCTCACTTTCCCATCTGTGCATCTCTGCAATTAAAAGGGAAAATTTATGACTCCATGTTTGTTCTCTCTCCGGTTCTTGATGGGTAGAACTTGTTTTGCTTTCTAAACGCCTTAATATCTTATGTTTAGGACTCTCAACTAGTGATAGACTGCTTCAAATCCGGTTTTGAGCCTCCTGGAGATTTTCCATTTGAAGATTACAGTCAGAATATTTACAGAACTATCTCTGATGGAACCATCAGTACACCAAAGCAGGAAGGAATGAGAATTGATTCAAAAACTACAGTGGGCAAGGCTAAAGGAAAGCTGTGGCTCTTTGGAAAGAAGCCAAAGGTAACAATTAAGAAATTACTATTCAGAAAATTAAAATGTGAAGAATCTAGAGTGCACGGAAGCAGCAATTTATTTATTTTAAAATAACCTTCCCCTTGCCTGCCACTGTCTTTTAAAGTATGTGTAAGGAGATCTGAAGGTTTGAGTGGGGTTGAGGAGTTATCCTACTAAAAATCAGGTTCTCTCTAGGGGAAGATCTGTGTCTGGGAATGTTTTTATAGTTATTTGATAAAGTAGCTTCCTGTTTCTGTAATGTTTCTAAGTTTCCGTAAAGACTTTCTGCAGTTGCGTAGAAAAAGTGTTAATTGTGAATGTCAAGCTAAAGGGGAGGGAGAGTGTGTTTTGGAATTGGACAGACTTCAGATCTCTCTTTTATACTACAAAAAGCAACCCCCTTCTAAACGTCACATTTTGTAGATGTTTATACATAGGAGTGTTTTGTAGATCTTTATTATACCTGCTGCTAGTTTTGAAAACTCCTGAAGTTTGTCTGAAAACATTAAAATTTATACTACCTCATTGATGAAACTTGCTGTTGAAGCTCCATACAGGTAAATGTCCCAGAAGAAGTATTACTATGAAATAGGTAAAAATACTCCTATGCTCAAGAAAAAATTGAAAACGGAGAAATTACTCCCTTTCTTGTGTTATTATATGAGTTTCAGTTAACACTTTCTGTGCCAGATGCCTTCATGGATCAACAGAAAAGACGATCAGTGCATGCATTAGCGATAGAAATCAGTAATGAAGCACGTACATATTTAAATTTTATCCTAGGTCTTTATTTAGTATTGGAGCATATCAGTGAGTCATTTTAATGTTTCCCACAAATTTCTGTGAGGTGATTTTAATGCTCCAAGTCAGTTTCTACCATTTACTATAGGGAAATATTCTTAGAGCTTGTTTAGTGGTAGGATTTATTTTCTACTTGAGAGTATTCCAAGAAAGCAGATCTTTACAGAAAGAAAGGATATAGCTGATCCTTTATTCCCTCCCCAGTATATTATGTAACTGCAGCTGTGTGTTAAAATGCAGTATAATTACTGATTGGTGATAGTTTAAATGCATTAATGCATTAGCACGTGTGTTGCATTTGGCTGCAGAGGTGGGTGAGATTCAGCCCATTCTGAAGTTAGATCATGATTGACAGTCTGACAAAAAGAGATCTTTCCGAGAATTTTGGAGAGGGAAGCTATGAGAATCTGCACTGGTTTTCAATCTGGACCTTGGCATTTACTGTAGTTGTAAGAAATTCCTTAGAATGATGGCAGCTGAAGGAAGCTGACAGGACTTTC